TTTTGTGGTGGGCTGCGATGGGAGTGATTTTTACCTGAAGGTGCAGAACGATGTGCGTGGTCTTCGTTACTGTCACTTGCTGCTTGCGCATTTATCAGAACTGATTTTATGTATTTTAGTCTCTGTTTAAGGAGCTACTGGCTGCAAATAGCCTGTAATCTCTTGCTTTTCTCGGATATCTCTTAGCAATATATGTATTTATTTTCCCTCTGTACGTGAGGTCAGGTTCTAGCTCGGCATGTTAACGTGATGTGCACACAGCATTGCCCACTGGCCTTTTGTGCTTGGGGTAAGAGGAAAAAGCGGTCGTGTGTGACATATCCTAAGCAAATAGTAAGCGTAAGTCAATAGCACAAAATCATTAGGCTTACTTTCCTCTTCACTGTTCTCAACTGTTAAAGACAACTCCTGAGTTTCCTGTCTATCTCTTTGGACAAGTTTACATTTTCTATGAGCAAGGAAAGTACTACTTTTTTTTGTTGTTGTTGTTAATAGACAACCTCTCAGTCAACCTCAGTGAAATAGTATCTTCTCTTAGCTGTGTTCTAGGCTTCTCTTCTGCGGAGAAAATAAAACCAAAGAAACAAAATGCTGTGACATACTCCCCCAATTGCTGTTATTGATTTCAAGAGACCTGCTTTTGCAAATGAACCTTAGCAGTGTTTGGCCTTCAAATCTCTTTCTGTCCTCTGCTAATTCCTCCTTTCTGTTGGAGTAAAGCACTAAGCTGTGAAAGTGTCTTCACAGGGTGTTAACCTGCCTGGCAATGCCAAGGCTGTGCTGTAAGCTGTGGTTCGTTGACCTTGTCTCCCAGTTTTGCTACGCTGCACTTTCTAGGCAAGTACTGGGTAATGGCGCAAACTTTACTTCTAATACAGGTGTGACTTCTGCTAAAAAACAAAGTCTTGTTAGTGTAAATATTTTAAATTTCCCTTGCAGTGACTGTAGTCTCTTTGAGGCAGTGAGATAAAAGATGGATATGCAAAATATCCTAAACAACCAGTCCCCAATTTCTTAAGACTTGAAAACACATCAGCCACAATTGTGAAGTTATTTGTCTGAGGTTTCTTTTATTTTAAAATGTAAATAGTGGGTGTGTTCAACATTAAAAAGCTGGCACTGCATGAACGGTGATTATAAAACTTTATAGCACAGTCTGGCCCCGTCCCCTTGACACCCTCCCTTCAGATATTGATACGCACGGGTGAGATCCGCCCCGAGCCTTCTCTTCTCCAGGCTGAGCAGTCGCAGCTCTCTCAGCCTCCCCTTGTATGTCAGACGCTCCAGTCTCTTAATCACCTCTGTGGCCCCTTTGCTGGTCTCCATCCAGCAGGTCCGTGTCTCTCTCGTGCTGGGGAGCCCAGCACTGGACCCAGCACTCCAGATGTGGCCGCACCAGTGCTGAGCAGAGGGGAAGGATCACCTCCCTTGACCTGCTGGCAATGCTCCTCCTAAAGCAGCCTAGGACATTGTTGGCCACCTTTGCCACAAGGGTGCGTTGCTGGCTCATGGTCTGCTCGCTGTCCACCAGGACCCCTGGGTCCTTCTCTGCAGAGCTGTCCTCCAGCTGCTCAGCCCCCAGCCCGTACTGGTGCACAGGGTTATCCCTCCCCAGGTGCAGGACTCTCAGGTTTGTTTTGCATCTCTAGCCATGTTTGTGTAGTAAATCACCTCTAACTGGGCCGTTAGAAGTGACTGACTTGCATGGGAACAAGTCCTCGCCATGGTAAAGCTGCTGGTGCTGCTGGGGGAACGGAGGAGCCCAGGAGCCTGTTCCCGGCAGGCAGCCCCACGGGTGTGTTGGGGGAGCGCAGGGCTGCAGCATCCCCGGGCCTTCCCAGCCCCTTGTCCTCCCGGCGGCCCCGAGGGAGGCGAGAGGAGTTGGCCAGGCAGGATGGGACCCAGAGCAGCACGTGATGGCATAAAATGCACACGTGTGCTGTCCAGATACCCTTATCGCCCTGAAGCAGGGTGCCGAGTCCCAGCTTCTGGGACTGTTCTTTTTTTAAGTCAGTAGCTGGAGCTCAGCTCTGCTCCGGTGGGTGGTTCCTGCGGGAAGTTTCCTATCCCCAGTCTGCCTGACGCTTGGACGCAGTTGTTACTCGTGTGGTTTGGGCAGAGATTTCTCAGAGTTGGGAGAGATGAAGGATTTCAGGAGAGACACGTGTCATATTGGAAATTACTCCTGCTCTGCTTTTACTGAACTGGAGTTGAGCTCAATAACCTCTCTTCGGGCAAGTTTAAACCTTGCACCCGGTCCCAAAGCCTGAAAGAGAGTAACTTGGAGGAGGTGAGGGTACAGGCAGGTAAAACGCTGTTATGGATAATGGGGCAGGGAGCAGGCGACTTCAAAGATACTTCTTAAAAAGGGGCCATCCCATAGGACAGGAAAAGCTTCTTGCTGACGTCTTAAGTTTTCTCTGTGGTAGGCATAGTCTAGCAGCGTCCACAGACAGAGGCAACAAATGTCATCCCATCTTTTCTCCTGCCTTGTGGCTTAGACGTGGAGCAGGTGGGGCCACCCCAGCAGCCTCAGTCAGGCTCGTGCTGCATAACATCATCTGCAGAGCACGAGCGTGCAGGTTTCCCCCGGCCGCGAGAGGCCCTCGACAAGGCTGGCAGCGGTTTAAGGAGTGCGTAGAAACGAGACGTGCCGTGTCTGTGTGGAGCGCTCCCGACTGCTCGGGAAATGATCATAGCTGAAATGCAATCTTGCATTGGTCCCAGTTAACTTGGCTGCTGTAATTGCAGCTAACACGCGTCTGCGTGCTGCGTGTATGGGCATCAGCAGTGCCCAGGGAGCCGTAACGCGGGAGCGGGGAGAAGGCAAGGAGGAACTCCTCAGGCCTGATTTTATTTATATATGCTCATTTTATCAGGTCCTCATAGTGCTTTTAGCACTTAGTGCAGGGTTTTTTTTTGTTTTTTGGGGGGTTTTTTTGGATGCTGAGGTGTTACCTGAAGCTTAATTGTTCTGCTGGCTGTAAGACCCTGGTTTAATATATGTAATACACTGTAAGCTTGCAGAAGATACTGACTCATATGTGCCGTGCAATCCTCAACTGCAAGTCACTGCAAATGATGTCACCAAGGAGGAGGAAGAAGAAATCCCTCTGCACGGAGTGGGAAGGAGGGAGGAAGCAAGGATGTGGTGCTTCACTCCCCAGGAGGTGTTTGCACGAAGAGACAACTTCACAGCGTCCTGCTGCCTGAAGCCCGCTGTCCGTGTCTCCTGGTCCTCGCTGAGCCTTTCATACATGCAGAGCATCTGTTTTAAGGAAGGAAAGTTGGATTTCAGACCTGAATCAGACACCGTGTTGCTCCTTGCAACAAAAGAGAGTTACACAGTAAATACGTCAGGATGTTTCTAAGGATGCACTGAAAAGCTGCCTTGAGATTCAGCAGTGAAAACCCAGGAACTAGAAACACATGGAAGTAGTACTGTGTCTGCATAAAGAGCAAGAATGTAACAGCAATCCTGTGGCGCCTGTAAAGCCGCCACTGTCTGTGCAGTGTCAATAGCTGTGTGTTTTCATTTGAATAGGAGAGACTCCGGCCCTAGAGAAGTTACCGCTCCATCGTGATCACATTGGACGTTTTCTTAAACCCATTCCTGTAAGCGCTACTAATGCTGCACAGATACAGAAAAAGGGCAGTGTAATAAAAAAAAAAAAACCATGCAGAAAGGGCAAGGGCTGTGCAGAGGCGCTATGCATCATGCCAAACTTTTCTTGCTTTTTTCCTTCATCCTCTTGTCCAACTTCTGTAAATAGCAGGGCACAGAGGCGCTGATGGCTGTGTGTTTTCTGGTCGCCCAGACACCATGACCCCCGTGTGCGCTTTAAGCGGGAGGAACGTTCTGGTTTTCTTTTTTACCCCGTGCAGCTTGGGTACGACGTGCTGCGCTCCCAGGGCTCGCGCTGACCGGTGGCGGTTGTAGAGCACGCAGCCACCGACGTTCTCCTTCCGACGCGGCGGCCTGCG